ACACCCTATTGTTAATAGTGAGTATGATATACTAAATAACACTGCTCTCTAAGAAATAAATTATTTGTACAAACTCTCTCTCTCTCTCTCTCTCTCTCTCTCTCTCTCTCTCTCTCTCTCTCTCTCTCTCTCCCTCTTATTCTCTCTCTCTCTCTCTCTCTCTCTCTCTCTCTCTCTCTCTCTCTCTCTCTCTCTCTCTCTCTCTCTCTCTCTTTCTCTCTCTCTCTCTCTCTCTCTATCTCTCTCTCTCTCTGTGTATGTGGCTTATCCACAAGGAAGAGAGAGAAAGCGAGAAAGCAAGAGCGAGAGAACTAGAGAGGGAAAGAGAGCGAGAGAAGGAAAGAAAGGAATCGAGGGAGAGAGACGCAGGGAAAGAGCGAGAGGCAGAAAGAGAGCGAGAGAAGGAAAGAAAGAAATCAAGGGAGATAGACACAGGGAATGAACGAGAGAAAGAAAGAGAGCGAGAGAAGGGAAAAAAAAGAATCGAGGGAGAGAGACGCAGGGAATGAGCGAGAGAAAGAAAGAGAGCGAAAGAAGGAAAGAAAGAAATCAAGGGAGAGAGACGCAGGGAAGGAGCGAGAGACGGAAAGAGAGCGAGAGAAGGAAAGAAAGGAAGCGAGGGAGAGAGACACAGGGAAAGAGCGAGAGACAGAAAGAGAGCGAGAGCAGGAAAGAAATAAATCAAGGGAGAGAGACGCAGGGAATGAGCGAGAGAAAGAAAGAGAGCGAGAGAAGGAAAGAATGAATCGAGGGAGAGAGACGCAGGGAATGGGCAAGAGAAAGAAAGAGAGCGAGAGAGAAAAAAAAGGAAACGAGGGAGATAGACATAGGGAAAGAGCGAGAGAAAGAAAGAAATCAAAAGAGATAGACGCAGGGAAAGAGCGAGAGAAAGAAAGAGAAAGAAAGAGAGCGAGGGAGAGATACGCAGGGAAGGGGCGAGAGACAGAAAGAGAGCGAGAGCGTGCCCACTATGGCTCCCGCCGACCAGCCATGCGAGAAAGACGACGCCCCACCGGCTGGCAGGACCTTGATTCGTGCGAAAGGAGGTATCGTGACACGGCGTCCCAGGTGCAGCTGCGCCAGCCACAGTCGTCTGCATTGGGCATAATTGCACTTATGGAGATACATGATCCTTTTTCCTTTGTCATATCATCTTATATGTATTATCTTCGATTTCATGTTTTATACTGTGGATTTTTTTTATTGTTATTAATTATTATTGGCGACGACTGACACTGGAAAATCATGGATAAACAGGAAGTAATTCTATCAAATTGTGATTATATCAATTCCATACACCTTTTATCTTAGTATGAACTTCATTGGCATTAGGAAGCCTTGTATCCAAAAACCACAATATCATCCCAAGTCTATTTCTGACCAGCGGAGCAAATTTCAACTAACCTATGTGTGTTTGTGTGTGTGTGTTTGCATATACATCTACTGTATACATGTATAATACACCCAGGCATATTTATATGTAGCTTCCTTTTTTTCTCACAGAAATATATGCTGATTATGACGATGCGTGTTTAACTCCGCCTGTCTGTTTCTTTCCTTTTCTTCTTCTTCTTCTTCTTCTTCTTCTCTCTCTCTCTCTCTCTCTTTCTCTCTTCTCTCTCTCCCTCTCTCTCTCTCTCTCTTTCTCTCCCTCTCTCTTCTCTCTCTCTCTCTCTCTCTCTCCCTACCTCTCTTCTCTCTCACTCTCTCCCTCTCCTCTCTCTCTCTCTCTCTCTCTCCCTCCCTCCCTCTCTGCTCTCTCTCTCTCTCTCTCTCTCTCTCTCTCTCTCTCTCTCTCTCTCTCTCTCTCTCCCTTCCTCCCTCCCTCCCTCCCTCCCTCTCTCTCTCTCTCTCTCTCTCTCTCTCTCTGTCTGTTTTTTTTCCATCAATTCTATTTTCAGTGTTCCATCTCAATTTCCCCCCGACTCTACTGGTTTATCCACTTCGCTATTATTGCGAATATCTGAATAAGAAATGGAACAAATTAAAAAAGAAACAATAACAAAAACTAGATAGATAAAAACCGAAACGAAAAAAATGGTCATCTAATATATTGGGAGAAAATCCTATCTGGCACCCTCTTCCAGCTTGCTCCTATAAAACAGCGACGCATCAATTTCCGAACACATTCATCATGAAGGTGAGTTTGTAAAGCCATATGAAGCCGTTGATAAGAATGCCTACCTGTTTACGTTGCCATCGGTAAATTCATTAAGAAATATTTTCCTTGCCCAGTATGATGACCAGTCCCTCTCCATTCCAGGCGGTGGTCGTGCTGGTTGCATCGTTGGCGGTGGTTGTCTCGGGGCAGGAGGTGGACCTCGACCTCTCCCGCGGGCCCGCTGACGCAGACAGCAGCATCCAGCTTGACTCCCGAGGGGGCGTTGCGACCTTCCAGGGGGCTTTCCCGAAGGAGGGTCTTCTGGCCGTCCACGAGAGGCTGACGGAGAACTACGAGAACGAGGCAGAGGAAGCGAAAAGGATCTTCGACGAGACACAACAACCGGTAGAGCAGGTCAAGTATCAATTCCTGGCGATCGCTAGTGATTAAGACCGTGGTTGCTTTTCATTCACTCTGTTGCCTGGCTTTCTGACTCAGACTGTGATGGCCATGTATTGTTAAAGGGTAATATATTCGGCACGAAGAGAATAAACTAATGCTTTCAAAAGTCTTTCGCTGTTATTATATGTAAGCGACGTATTTACCACTCCTTCCATTTGCATTTAGTACATTCTCTGTAGCTCTGTTATTCTCAGTAACTCCCATACTTTCCAGTACAATAGTCATGACCCTCGCACACTGCTCGTCCTCCCACAGGTGTCGCCCTACCAGTGGGCATACGAGGTCTACGCAGCGTCCACGGGCGATCAGAAGAGCCAGGTGGAGCGCCGCGAGGAGGACGGGGTGGTACGAGGCTCTTACTCCCTGGTGGAACCCGACGGCTCCCGCAGGACCGTCACCTACGTTGCCCATCCCGAAGAGGGCTTCCAAGCAACCGTGGAAACTGAGCCCAGCGCGCAGGGCCTCTCCCTCCAGAACCCCGTTTCAGACGCATCGCAGAATTCCTTCCATGTTGCCCCGACGCAACAGCAAGGCTATTCTGTTTCTCAGTACCATGGCGGCAACCGGCACCTGGGACACCTGCAGCAGATTAATAACAGGCAACAACAGCTTGGTAACCAAGGACAGTTCTCAAACTTATTCCAACAGCAACAATTCAACGGATTCGGTAAACAAGAATTGATATACAATGCACAGCAGCAGCAAAACTACGGCAGATTGCACCTGCAGTCCCCAAGGCAGCCTCCGTTTATTAACCAGGTACAAGGACAAGGGCAGCTCAATAATCAGAACCAATACTTACTGCAGCAACAACGGTTAAGGCAGCAGCAACAGCTTCTGAATCAGCAAAGGCTGCAACAACAACAGTTTCTGAACCAGCAAAGACTGCAACAACAGCAACAGTTTCTGAATCAGCAACGGCTACAGCAGCAGCAACAGTTCCTGAGTCAACAACGACTGCAACAACAGCAGCAATATAACCAACAACAGCAACAGCAGCAGCAATATAACCAACAACTGCAACAGCAGTATGAAAGACGCAGGTCACAGATAATCAAACTGCAGCCAAAGGTCGGTACACTTCCCCCGATATTCGGTCACCAGCATCAGCGTGGCGGACAGCAGCAGCACTTGTCACAACAGCAGCAGCAATACTTCACACAGCAGCGACAGCCATTCCTCGGACAGCAGCCGAGATTCAGGTCCCATCAGGCCGCTGCTTCGAGTTCAGCACAAAGTGGACAGCCTCTCCAGGGCTCGGATAACGGCCCAGTCGAATACGCCGTGGTGCCTGTCACGCTCCACCGTATCAATCAGTAACTTCTGCTTCCCTCTCGTTCTGGTCCGTATTCTCCGTATTCCCGGTCTTTTCTGCGGCAATCGGAAAGAGAATCCAAGAGCTAAGGTACGAAAACGGTTTGTCGTCGCACACGTGACCAGTAGGTCGCCTTTTTTGTCCAGCATGATGAAAAAAATGGTTATAAAAAGTGGTTATCAGGGTTTCCTTTGTTTGTCTGTCCTATTAACTTTCACTCGTTGTATATTGTAACTCACTGCATCCATTTTCCCGTCATCTGTTACGACTAGCTCAGTAAACAATAACAACTTAATTAGAAATGGTAGCTCAACACTGTCAAACTTCAAGTCGTATAAATTTATTCCTACGCGAGTTCACCTGAAGCATTCTTTAATACCTAGATGAAGTTGTTATTTGGAAACAACCACGACGCACTTCGAGAATAATATATTGGTTTTACCTTCAGTTATTATTACCAAAAATGCAGTGAAATGTTTTAATATAACTTTTAAATCACACACAAAAATAATGCTATATAGAATTTTAGTCAGACGAAAACCTTCATCTGTAATATTGTTCTACTGATTATTGTAAGGCCTTAGGTTCTTGGATATTTCAAACAGCAGAAGAGGATTTACCAAGAAAGTTGGCAAAATATTTCTAGTTTATGCACCTGAAGATGCACTATCATGGCCTTGTATTGGTGATTTTAAGAAACAAAGAAAAATCGTAGTTTGCAGAGCATCATATATTGCAAGGAATTTTTACGGCAAAAGTAGTCGAACTTATTCAGACTCCATGATCTTAAAAAGATACCAAAGCCATGTGTTAACACAAAAGTAGCAGAAATTCAATATTTGGGACATCTGAGATAAGAGTGAATATGAATCCTGAAATGCAAAAATCGCGTTTGTTTTTATTTCGTATTTTTTGCTACAAGAGGATGGATGGGACGTTCATTCTGTATTTAAAAAGTAGAATGGGGATACTTTCGCTACTTTTTTTTGTAAATTGGTAGAATGTGACAAAAGGCACATTGTTTATTTTTCGAAATATGCTTTCATAAAGTATTTTATAAGAGCTGCTCTACCTACAAGTTTGAGCCTTCCCCTTACAGCCCCTTACTCTGATAATACCCTC